ACAGACAGACAGACAGACAGACAGACAGACAGACAGACAGACAGACAGACAGACAAACAGACGTAGACAGACAGACAAACACACAGAGAGGTGGAGGGGGGAGCGAAATAAAAAGGAGGTGGGAGGAAAAGAAAGGGGTGGGGCATAAAGGGAGACTGAGAGTGAGAGACAGTCCGAGACAGACAGATGGAGTCAGATAAATAGAGAGCGTAATGCAAGAGAGTTTATACTGTGTGTGTGCGTGTACACCTCTGTGGGGCTCTTGCCACGGTTCATAGCAGCAAGGGATGCATTCATTTCGGGTCCAGACAGACAAGCAAAATTGATCATCAGACTGGAAAGAATGCACATAAACGAAAGAAAGAACAACCTAGATTTGGATCTAGGCCGTGAACCTTCAGCTAGAAAATGACGAAACGGAAAGCAAGACGGTGATAACTGTCGACAGGCAGACAGACAGACAGACAGACAGACAGACAGACAGACAGACAGACAGACAGACAGACAGACAGACAGACAGACAGACGTAGAAATACACCGGCAGACAGACGTAGAAAAACACAGACAGACAGACAAAGAGAAAGAAACTAACAGACAACAAACATACTTATGCAGCAAGTAGACAGGAAGAAAGGGATATAAACAGGCACAGAGATTGATTTCCCTCCTTCCCTCCCTCCCTCCCTCCCTCAAAACCGACTCCTCCCTCCACCCACTCCCTCCCTCCCTCCCTCCAGCCCTCGGTACTCACCGTTGAGCTCCATGCCGCTGTAGGAGATGTAGACCCTGTGTTGGCCGGGCTCCTGCGGTGTGTAACTCACGTTGTACTCAAGGGGCGTGGCCTCGTCCACTTCAAAGGGCAGGTTGCGGCCTGACGGGCTCTGGATGCGAATCTCCTGGTCGCCTTGACCGGCCTGGGTGCAGTCGACTGAGGACGGGAGGAGGACAGTTCGGGTTTGTGTGGATACAAATATATTACAATACAATACAATGCAAGGCAAGGCAATGCAATGTAATGCAATGCAATGCAACGCAACACAATATAATACAATACAACACAATACAACACGACACAATACAACACAACACAACACAATACAGTACAATGCAATGCAATATACTAGGCCTACAATGCAATGCAATACATTGCAACGCAACACAATACAGCACAACACAGCAAAATACAATACAATACAGCACACCACAACACAATACAATACAATTCAAAATGATACCATGCGATACGAAACAATACAATACAATACAATAAATATTTATTTCATCTGTACAGCCACACACTCGGAGACACACACATACATGCACACAAGCATGGGCACATTCATACATATGCACACACATGCACGCGCGCGCACACACACACACACACACACACACACACACACACACACACACACACACAC